AAAATAACTAAAACATTGAAAAACAAACTATATTTAACTCAAATTAAAACCATAAAACTTAATAAAATACAATAATAAATAAATACACATGAACGGAAATAAACTTGATGTACTAAAATAACTGAAACTGAAATAAAATCAATAAAAGCTGCATAGACATATTTAGAGAAAAAAGTCATAAAAACACTATATTAAACTATATTTAAAATAATATTAAATATTTAAAATTGTTGGTTAGGGTTTGAAAAAAAGTATTTCAGCTTTTTGTTTAGTTTAACTTGATGTACTAAAATGACTAAAACTGAGATAAAAATGTATAAAAAGCATATTTAACTAAACTTAAAAGTTTATTAATAATAAATTGTTACTTGAAATAAAATAAATGTTCACCAAAATAAAATATTAAACAGCTTAAACTTATGTCAGCTAGTTGCCAAGGCAATTTTTATTTAGTTTAATTGATGTACTAAAATGACTTAAACTAAAATAATTAATAAAAGCTATATTAAACTAAAATTAGAAGTATATTAAACTATATTTAAAAACGATATATATTAAACTAAAATTAAAACCGTAAAAAGATGTTATCTGAAATAAAATAAACTTTAGCTAAAATAAACTTGATGTACTAAAATAACTGAAACTGAAATAAAATTAATAAAAGCTATAGACATATTTAGAGAAAAAAGTCATAAAAACACAACATACTAAAACGTTAACTAAAATTAAAATGAAAACGGAAGATACAAAAATAAACTACAATAGTATATTGAATGATCCTAAAAGAACATCTGCAGCCATCAGATTCACAACATGACTGTAATCAGCTGATCAATCAATCAATCAATCAATCAATCAATCAATCAATCAATCAATCAATCAATCAATCAATCAATCAATCAATCAATCAATCAATCAATCAATCAATCAATCAATCAATCAATCAATCAATCAATCAATCAGGTGATGCACTCTACTCTCATACTGTTGCATTGAGCTCTTCCTTGTTAAACGTTATTTTTGTTCTTGTGTTGATCTCTAGTTCCACTGATATGCCACAGAAATTATGTTTTGATAGAAATTCATATGACAGAGTTTTTTCCAGGCAGTGCAGATGTAAACACATGACAGCGTTTGATTCACGTTTACTGCGCGAGTTTATCTTTCCCAGCGTGTGTGTGTGTGTGTGTGTGTGTGTGTGTGAGAGAGTGTGTGTGTGTGTGTGTGTG